AAAACAAACTCCGTGGTCTGTAGTCCGCAAGCGAACTATACCGACCGAGCGACTGCCGCTTGTCGGCGAAGTTAGTGCCAACTTTAGCGGATAGAGGGTGTCACGTGGTCGGTGCAACGACTCCCCACTGTCGTTAATTTCGGGTTTCTAGACCGGAGCCGCTATTTCATTGAAATAGCTCCTCAATTGTCCTCACGAGGCTGAGTGAACCCCGTTCTAGACCCACTACTTCCCAGAATATCTAGTAGCGTAGGGAATGGAACCTGGGACCTCTGGATCTGTAGCCAGGAACTCTGACCACTAGACCACAGAGGAGGTCAGCCTGATGTATTGGCAGCCTTGTTAAATAAACCACAAATAAGTAAACAATACTATCCAAACTGTCTTCTGAGGACAGGTAGGAAATGCCACCGTACAGGCAGACTACAACTTTTTGTTGGTTCGAAGGTTGCATAATGTCTGTATTAGAAGTTACTTGACGCCGATTAAGATGAAAGCATCTTTATGTTCGGTGAACTAGAAAGGATTAGATAGCTGGCGGTCGTGTTCTGTTTCAGTGCAGCGTTAACCTGAAGAGACTAAGGAATACTGCTCGAAAATTGGAACTGCGGCAACCGGGATTTGAACTGAATGTTTTTCGAATGCAAGTCAGATGTATTATCTATTGAATTTATTCGGATTGAAAAAGATGTGGAGGGAAATGGTCATAACTTTGTACTTTTTTATATCCTTGTAACAGGCCGTGGAGACCCATAGGGTTGTGAGACGTCGAGGTTCCCACATTTTCTAGACAATTGGCTCAAAGATGGCGGTAAGGTTGTCAGCCTTAAGCATCGGCCGCCCTTTACCCCCAAGAAAAATCCTGGTACCCATTTCTGTTAGAGGCTGAGTCGACCACAGGGCCATAGTACAGCTGGAAGGATTAGGTAAATTGAAAAAATCCACCTCATCGAAATTCGATCCCGCGACCTTCCGGCTTGTAGCATAATGTCTCAAGCAACTACGCTACCGCGGGCCCCCATATCTTTGTGTTACTGTTTGGAATTGATATGGGAGCAACTAAAGAAAACAGCAGTTTCTCAATAGACAATTTGACGATTCTGCTTGCTGACTGCTTCATGCTAGTTTCTCCCTTTGTTTACTCTTCGGCCCTAAAGGTGAAGGCGATATGTATCTCCGAAACGTCAGTTAAAATTCACTGGACTACATAGCGTTACAGGAGCCGGAATAGCGTAGTCGGTATAGCGAATGCTACGAGCTGGATGACAGAGGGGTCAGAGTTTGTGTCCCCGTAGGGTAAACAATTTTCTCTCCTCCACGTCGTCCAGACCGGCTCTGGGGTCCACCCGGCCTCCTATCTCATGGATACTGGGGGCTCTTTCCCCTGGCGTAAAGCGGCAGGTGCGTGAAGCTGACCACTCACCTCCAGCTAGTGCCGAGATCAAGAAAATGTGGATCCATATATCCACTCCCCAATACGTCTTCATGGCGTAGTGCTTAATTAGTTACGCACAGGGACAACTTTACATTTTTTTCCCCCTTGGCACTACAGCCCCAGTGGGCCTAGGCCTACCTCCATGAACTTCTCCGTTCACTTCGGTTTTTCTAGATCTTACACATTCGGTAGGACTCCTTGGGCGGGTGATCAGCTCGTCGCAAGGCCTCTACCTGTACACACACACACACACAAACTAAACATCCATGCCCTGAGTGGGATTCGAACCCACGATCCCGGTTTCCGAGCGAGCGAAGACAGTGCATGCCTTAGACCACTCGGCTACCGTGACCGGCCAACTTTACCTTTATATGGCGCTATATCCCAGAAGACAGAACTCTTCACAGCTAATGTGGTTACTTCAAAGCCAACAATCTGACAACTCGCCACAGCATAAATTGGGCCGTTCATATAAAGGGGAGGAAACCCAATCAGTTTGGGCACCCTCGTTATTCTTTGTATGAAGCAGAGCATCTAATCAGTCTACATCGAGCCTAGCCACGTTTCTTCTCGTGTGATTATCGGATTTACATGAAATAAGAAGTTTGACCCTCAAAAGTTCCGCTTCCTGGAACCGTAAGACTTTCGAAGGTAAACTTTCTTGTTTCTCTCACAGCCATTACATACGTAAGGCCAAACTGTCCTTCGCGGAGGAAATCCTCGTGGATAGCTGTGGATTTCCCACATCAGTTTCAACAGATTGCCCGTGTTCCACCTACATTTACTTTACTTCAAAATGATCTCTGTGTAAAATTAATTAACAGTAAAAAGATTAACATTCTGACAGATATAAAACAATGTTTTAACCTTTCAACCTTTACGACTAATATTATACATAACGAGACGTAGAAATTGGTAGCGAAATTTATATTAACATGATTACCAATCTTGGTCCATATTAGAACACAATTCAAAAACGAGTTTTATATCATTAAAACTGCCTGAAGATGAGCCAGCTAGATCGAAACATGTAGATAAAGGTAAAGGTGTCCCTATGCTTAACTAATTAGGCACTACACCATGAAGCCGTATGGGGGAGTGGGTGTATAGATCCACATTTTCTTGACCTCGGCACTACTTGGAGGTGAGAAGATACAGAATACTAAACAAATATTAATAAGTAATATTGATTTATTTGGAATTTGTTATATTGATAGCCATATAATAATACCATACAATATTTCTTTTCGTCGGTTACTGTAGCCGAGCAGTCTAAGGAATGTACTATCTTTTCTCGCTGGGAAAACGGGATCGTTGGTTCGAATCTCACATACGGCATGGATGTTTGGTGTGTGTATGCGTTTGTTCTGTGTTTGTGTTGCCCTGTGTTTAGGTAGAGGCCTTGCGACGAGCTGATCACCCATCCAAGGAGTCATACCGTCTGTAAAATGATCATGAAACTGAGAAATCAGCCCCACGCTCCAAAGTTGGAGCAAGGGTAGAGAAAAAACAAAATTTCTCTTCGGTTTATAACTGCGTTCTTAATAATTCATGTATCAACAAGAAAATACCTGAATATAAGTGAATATTCCACTCTGCTTTATGACTGAGGTGCATTAGGGACAGATAGGCTTTAATGTCATTGTACTGGGGGTATTTAAAATATATAAACTTGTTTTTTGCGAAATATAACTATTTTTAATGGCACCACGACATAAATGTCTTCTGGCAACCTCATTATTTTCTTACGTCACACACTGTTCAGTAGCATTCAGCCTTACTTCTTAAGAAGGCAAACAAAAGCGGACCGCCTTTCCATGTAAGCATGAACCAGTACAAACAGCACTCAACTTGATTCAATTTAGGCGCGTAACATGATGACACTATAAGCACAACATATTCCTGTTTTTTTCGACAATATATACAAAATAAGGTGTTGATTAAATCGAATAAGCTCGACAGAAAAACAATAGTCAAAACTTTTAGTATGTACTCGTATATTCTTTTGTACTTTATGTTTTGTATGCAAGATATATGAACATAACGTACCACATTTTATGGAATTTAAAATAATAAATTAATTACATGGGAATAAGCTCATATTCACAAACTCAGGCTTAATTTTATCATATACGGTTGACAAAAATTATTAAAAATTTACGAAATAATATAAAAGTTAACAAAAAATTCTGGTTGGTCGGTCGGTTAAATTGCTGCTGGTCTTCATCAGCACAGTCATTCCTAGCTTCAGTCTCCTTGAGATCCATGATCAAGGTTCTTATTCTCTCCTAGACCTGTACGAGGGCACGCGGTAGCGTAGTCGGTTGAGGCACTGTGCTACAAACTGGAAGGTCGCGGGATCGAATCCATATGAGGTGGACTTTTTCAATCGACCTAATCCTTCCAGCAGCACTATGGCACTGGGATCGACTCAGCTTCTAACAGAAATGAGTTCCAGGAAACTTCCTGGGGACAAATGGCGGCCAGCGCGTAGGGCTGACAACCATGCCGTCATCTATGAGCCGATCGTCTAGAAAATGTAGGAACCTCAACATCTCACAACCCTACGGTCCTCCACCGCCTGTTACAGGGATAACTTTACTTTTGCTTTTTACCTAGACATGTACGTGTTTCGAAATGGGGCCTCCTCTTCGTCGAAGGAGCTACGTTTGTTGCACCGTGGTTCAGCACAGGTACGGTGTATATAGGAGCTGTCGCAGCGTCCAGGTCACTATGGACTCGAGAATAACTAAGCGCCTACTTACTTTGATAGGACACGAACCGCACAGAAAACGCCGCCTCCAACAATTCTTCGTTGCAGTTGGAACGTCTTTGCCGAGGTACTATCCTAGCAACGATTGTGGGATACACAGGCAGATCCACAGACTCTTCTTCGATACGACACATAAGACATAAACCGCACAGAAAACGTCGCCTCCAGCAATTCTTCTTTTCCGCGGGAATGTCTTTACCTAGCCGCTACTTAGCAACGACGGGGGATACACAGACCCACAAAATATCTTTTATACGGCAATGAACGCATAAAAAATATGCATCCAACAATTCTTCTATTGCTGCGTGTGTTCTTTCCCGCGGGAACGTGTTTACCGAGCCGTTGCCTAGCAACGAAAGGAGCGATACACATATGTACACACAGACTGATGGGAGAAGTTATGAAATATGCCGTTGAGATGGGCTCAGATACCACGATTTTCATACTAAGTTTCATAAAGATTGTTTCAGGAATTCTAAAGTTGGGGGGGGGTGATACACTGACAGCACTGTGATGTCATAAGCCAATTTTTTCTTTTCAAAATAAAGGAAATGGGTTAAAAAGAAACGAAATGTTTCGGCCCCAAATTAAAAGCTGACATGACAGAAAATGTCTGTGCCCGGATTCAGAATCAGCATAGAAGTTTTTTTTTTTTTATTTTTTACGTGAGGGGGGGGCGTTACTGTAACATTGGTGAGTAGCGATATTTTCATTCCGCCGAAGTTAGGCTGTCGCTGGGCGGTAGTCTCGAAGTGACAGTGGCGAAGCTTGTGACAAGTATAAATCACTTACGGGGGACACCGTCTGGATTCCTTGGTCTCTCGTGAACGAACTCGTAGGCCGTCTTGGTCCCATACATGAGATAGGGATTCTCTTCATACGCGAAGCAATAGTCCTGGTCATAGCCGGCCGCCACGGAGGCCAACAGCAAGGTGCACAAGACACGGATCATAGTGTCTCTGGCCCTGAAAACAGAGAAAATATGATCAGATCAAGAAGTTTTAGGGGATATATTCCATACAGTGGACACGCTCTACGTAAAGATCAGAGTGCAGTAGAGAGGAAAACCCTGGACTGGGGTCCCCAGGGGCACGAAGGAGAGACAGACCAAAAACAACCTGGCGGAGAACTGCTGAAGAAGAGGTCCGAAAAGCAGGACTAGAGAGAGGTCAAAAGCCTGGCTGGGAACAAAGTCCGTTAGAGATGATTTGTGAAAGCCCTATGCTCCAAAATGGAGTAAAAGTAATTGATTGATTGATTCCATACAGTCTGGGAACGAGGGCACGTCATCAGTCAGACAGTGACGTATACTTTTACGTCATCAGTATAAAGTAACTAGATTATATGAAGAAAGCAGTCCTCTTGGATGTGGCGTCGTGTAGATATTGTGTTAACCGACGTTTCGTAGGAACATGTCGCCTCCATCTTCAGGGTAGAAGAAAAAATACGAAAATCCGCGAGCGAGGAACCAACGTGAGCTCGCGGATTTTCTTCTATTTTCTTCTACCCCGAAGATGGAGGCGATACGTTCCTACGAAACGTCGGTTCACACAATATCTACACGATGCCACATCTCAGAAGACTGCTTTCTTCATAGTCATCGCCGTGAAAACCTCGGATCTTACATAATTAGATTCTATTTTAACATACTTACAGAATTCATACGCCGATGAGAAATTCGAACACATTTATAAAGAAGTTTTCTTCCGTAAGGTTGTCTACACACGGTATGACGTAACCTGTTTCGTAGAGCAGATGAACTTTAAAACGCTTTCATCTGTGCAAGAGACGAGCACGAATTCTAATCCTTTACTGGTATGTATTATCATTTATCACATATCGGAAATTACAGTACATCTCGATTGGCTGTTTACCCGACATATTTCGATATCTTCAATGTCATCTTCTGGAATATATGTTTTATGTCACAAACTAAACATTAGCCCAAGATTTATTGTTGTGTATGCTTTTGAACATTTCAGATGTATATGTCTGACTGCCGGAAAGCAGCTCTAGTCCTTCGGTTTCTGCAGCTGAGCTCAATGTGTTATTTCGGTTTTCGGACTAGGCCGCGTCGAATGTTATTAAGTTTCGCAACGTTTCGACAAAGACTGTAGCTATCATCTTCAAGATTAATGATTTGGTGAGCACTGGAAACTCTCTCACATTAGGCAGTGCTTGGATGAACAGAGGAGCGTGATGCTGACCTATAGGGGCCACCACGTAGACAGTGAAAGAAGTAATGGAAAATGTTTTGGAGTTTCGTGTACTCGAAAATTAATGATGGAAAATGTTTAAACAACCAAACGTGAAGGATATTTGTGACTTTTAACACATAATTTTGCCATGTTCCTGAAATCATATGTGAAGAAAGAGCAACTGCAAATATGGAAGCTGTCATGAACACGTATTAAGGGGGGGGTCTCAGGTTGAGAGTAATAACCCTTTAGGTAAATGATCTGTTGCGGAACTCAGCGTAGAATCTCAAATTTTGACCGATCATTTTGAACTTGTTTCATACCAGACGTGTTAGTTATCATAGATCTAACCGAAAATTTCCCTACGAAGCTACGTTTTCGTGGTATTCAGCACAGGACAATCCTATCCTTCCCTTCCAATTTTTTTTCCTTGGCGCTACAGCCCCAGTGGGCCTAGCCCTACCTCCATGAACTTCTCCGTTCACTTCGGTTTTTCTAGATCTTACACATTCGGTAGGACTCCTTGGGCGGGTGATCAGCTCGTCGGAAGGCCTCTACCTGTACACAAACAAAGATAAACGCACACACACAAACTAAACNAGTGGTCAGCTTCGTGCCCCTGCCATTTTACCCCCCCCCCATCCCCCCCCCCCGGGAAAGAGCTCCCGGTACCCATTGCATAAGAGGCTGGTTGAGCCATAGAACCAGTCTGGACGTTATGGAATGAGAAAAAAATCCCTTTCTCCTACCGGGATTGGAAACCCAAATCCTCGGTCTTTCAGCCCATAGACCAGTCGTTATGCCGAATGAGCTGTTCTGGCTTCCACATGTACGGAAATTCCGCTGTTATTGGATAAGAAAATAAGAGCGTAAGGGAAACATCGCGACTTTTCAGGAGGTGTGTCATATGTTCCTGCGGAACAGCCTTTTCGAACCCGCTGTAGGCTGAGATAATGATGTAAGAGCCAGTTTATTTGCGTGCGCGCACTCAGGCGGAAGGGTCAGACATTACTCTCGTCAAGTCGAACCGGTACATAGCGCCAGTTCACTTCACTGCTGGGCTGTCTAGAAAAACTCATTCATTAATCAAAAACAAAAAGAAAAACTCCGTGGCCTGTAGTCCGCAAGCGAACTATACCGAGCGAGCGACCGCCGCTTGTCGGAGAAGTTAGTGCCAAATTTAGCGTATAGAGGGTGTCGCGTGGTCAGCTCAACGGATCCTCACGGCCGTTAATCTCGGTTTTTCTAGACCGGAGCCGCTATTTCCTTGAAACAGCTCCTCAATTTTCCTCACAAGGCTGAGTGGACCCCTTTCCAGAACTACTACTTATCAGAATATCTGGTAGCGCCGGGAATCGAACCCTGGACCTCTTGATCTGTAGCCAGGAACTGTAACCACTAGACCACAGAGGCGGTCCTCATTCAGTAATCAACAATAGTAATCCTAACCCTGCAATAACAATTCCTATGCCCCTATGTCAAAATACCGCCCTCAACCCTTGCCGTTGCTGTGTTATTCGAAATAGTCAGGCAGCCGTCTAAGCTGCCAGTGAGACACTGTAATACGCTAAGAGACTGTACAAACTGACAGATCCTTAGATATGTCTGCATAATGTGATCAGCACATGTCCCTGAAGGTCGTGGTAAGGAGAATCTGTCTGTATGACTCAGTGTAATGGCTGTTATATCATACCTAAAATCAAAGCGTAATAACATCAAACGTTTAAAATCGAAGCACGTACGTTTATGACCCCTTGCATCATTCAGAACGTAGACGAAACTTGATCTTAAGAGCCACTGGTATCACATTCGGAGACAAAGTGTCCACCAACATAAATAATTGGTTGATTTAAGGTGAATCAACTGCACTGATTATCCGCCAACAGTTGTGTGATTATGTGAATGAAACGCAGTTCTTCTTGAGAGATTGCCAGTTACTCAGGTGGTGAAGGTTTTGCCCGTTTTGGGGGGCACAAGTATTTAAGAAATTCATGGTGGTGTCCTAATTATTCGCTCTTCGTTCTGGAAATGGAATGTCCGTCCGATGTTTCGGGATTCTAAATGTTTAGATTGTATTTGGATGTCACACTATTGAGGGGAACCTGTGGACATAGTGGTGAATTTTTCTTCGAAGGCTCGGTTAACACCCGTTCCATTCCTTTATTTCATTTCGTATTCATTAAGTACTTTTTAACACAGTGTGTGCAGAAGTAATGTTGTGGGAAATGCCTTGCTGTGAGAATGTGAAAGATCATTATTTTAATTTGCGTCTTTTTTATCGAATTCGCAATAAAAAAAAAGACTGTAGAAATGCTCCTATCAGATTTGCCATTTCTGTCTACCTCTTCGCATGTAGCCAATCGGCGAACCGACGAATTGATTTTCATGAAATTTGATTTTGGTCATCTTTACTCAAATTTGTTGACAGACCACCAGGATTAAGGACACTAACATATCCTACTTCGCTTCCTCGTCGGGAGTCACGTTCGGCAATACATCGATTCGAATCCGTCTTGAATTTCCACAGTCCCGGCATGCAGATGCCGCTATAGTGGCTGAAACAGACCCCGCATATCATGCCATCGGACTCCATTAAGACACAGCCTAACCAGAAAAGGCGGATAGGTTTACATCCTTCACGTGCACAATCACTCATGGGAGCTGGGCCCTTCTTAAGAAGCTGCCAATTGTGCAGCTACTCAAGAATTTCCCAGCATTTTATGGAACCCGAAGGTTCATGACCCTGTTCACAAGAGCCTTCCAGCGGTCCCTATCCTGAGCCAGATAGAGCCAATCCATACCATCTCATCCTATCTCTCTGAGATTCATTTTAATACTGCCCACCCACCTACGCCTTGGTCTTCCCAGTGGTCTCTTTCCTACCGGCTTTCCCACCAATATCCTATATGCATTTATCATCTCGCCCATTCGTGCTACATGCATTTCCCACCTCAACCTCCTTGACTTGAGCATTCTAATTATATTTGGAGAAGAGTACAAGTTATGAAGCTCCTCATTACGCAGTTTTCTCCAACCTCCTGTCACTTCATCTCTCTTCGGTCCAAATATTCTTCCTTCACGCAGTGAGTTTTATAAACGGCGCAACCGTGAAGCGAAGTTCGCTGTTATGGGTGAGCCGAAGTTGATTTGAGGAACGTCTGATTAATCCGTGCCCGCATAAAGGCACTCCATGTACAATAAATGGAAAGCGGACTGACTGAAGTAATATCGAACACCGACACTTGAGCTGTAAACACAAGCCATTACACAGGTCTTCATCGTGTAAGTTATTGCGCTCATCCAACGAAACTAGCGCGGTCAGTGACACTCTCTGGAACTACTTTATTACGACTTACCTGTAATACGTCTGCAAGCAACACAGCACAACACTGTACCCACACACTGACGCACTCCGCGAGACAGCTACATGCAAGCAACAAGCTTACGTTCCCTCACACACACTCCCCTCCCCCCCTTATGCCCCCTCCAAGACAACAACTGCGAACTGGGTAACGGACCTCGCGGGAGGAGGTCGCGTGCTCACTTTTTTATTTTAATAAGCTACTCAGTGGCATGGATAGTTACGTTTGCAGAAAAGGGTTCACGGGTCCATGGTTTTGCGACTAGCACCCAAATGTGTACTATCCGTGTTTTGGGGAACAGAAGGATTTTCTCATGGGCCGCAGAGACTCAAGTAGCCGGGCAAATACCGTCCCGTACCTTCAGTTGGCTGGACCTGCTTCAGAATATCAGGCCAATACGATAAC